GCACGACCCTGCGCACTAAGGTGAATGACCACATTCTCTTCCTGAGTACGAGACAGAGCACGACCCTGTGCACTAAGGTAAATGAAAAATGGATTAAAATTTTCCAATGTATTGAAAGGATCAAGTGTAAACAATGCAACTGCAACATTCAGAATTTGCAACATTCATAATTTGACCCCCAAATGCAACTAGTTTTAGATATGCTTAGTATACTAACTAGCTCTCACACAAAGGCAATCAAAAGTAACAACGAGATAAGATGTTTAGGCCACCAATTACATGCACGATGTTGGAAACCATTCATTTGTCATTGCTTTAGCATCATTTCATCACTGTTTCATACCATTTCTCATCATTTGTCATCTCTTTACATGTTCAGGATAATTTTGCATATTTGTGTTGTTTTCAGGTAATTTGGAACTGTTGGTGAGCAAATTGGAAGAAGCGGACCAGAACCAATCAGTATGTTCGACCACGAGATCGAGTACCATTATCCTGGCCTTCCAAAAGTACTCGACCACAACCTCTGCAGCTGATGCTCGACCACAACCTCTACAGCTGATGCTCGACCACAAGTTTGCACGATCACTCGAGTATCCCTGAGCATCACCACTCGACCACAAGCTCACATCACCACTCGACCGCAGCACAAAAAGACACTCGACCACCACGCCTTCAAAGACACTCGATCGCATCCTCTTGTTTCTATACTCGACTGTGTGGTCGAGTAACTCGGCGTCCTTATCTCTCTGGACCACTCGACCTCATATTCGACTGCCAGCTTCAGAGTCTTCTCAATTCCGTACTCAACCAGACATTTGAGCATAAGGAAGAGAAGACGATGAAGAAGACACTTGACCACGTCATGACTAGAAGCAAGAATCTACAAAGACTCCAGCTTTACTCGACCATGCATACTCGATTACAGGGGTCGAGTACCTTCTTAAACCGTCTTAATACTTTGTCGTTTTATGTATTAGGGCTTCCTAGTATTTACTATAAATAGGTTGTTTCTCTTAATTTTCAAGGAAGTTTTTTCTGGAGAACAATGAGGGTTTTCTTCATATTTGTAATCCGAATTCCTCTTAATCTATTAAGTTTTTGCATTTGATTCCTTCTACAAAGTTGTTCATCTTGTTAAGATCTTGCTATTATGAAATTTTTATGCATTTTTGGGTTTGTGTTCTTGGTTATGAAGTTTGAGTAGTGATTAGGATTCTTGAGGATGGGTTAGGGTAGTTTAGAATTCTTAATATGCTAGGTGGTTGAGTTTGATTGGTAGATCCCTTCTGGATTAGTTGTTCTTAATGGTAATTGCTTTTTGATCAACTAGAATTTGAGCCCAGACATTTCCGCACCCACAAGGTGTTCGATGAAATGTCTGAACCACTAATTGTAGAGATTCGTGTCTCTATACCAAGGAGTTGGTTACAGAGAGCATTTTGGCTTTAACTTGTTGATTCGTAATGCATGTTAGGTTAGCTCTCGTCAATGGTGATTGAGTCTGGGACTAGTTTAGCTTGAGGATCTCTGTTGCGGTAACACTTTGATTTGGTGATTGAACTTGTTGTCTAGGGATAGTTGGTTGAGCATGTTAACCACCTGTTGATTAAAGAGACTTCACTACTCGATTACCCCATTCTCGGGAATTTCTCTTCCAATTGATTTCTCTGCTTACATTGCTATTGATTGCTTGTTCTTGTTACTTGTTGCTTAGTTTTTGCATTTCTAGCCTGTTTCACTTAAAACACTCGACCACATCCAGTGTCTGGCAACAGACTGTGTGGTAGAGTACATTTGTTGCAGTTTCTGTCTCTTACTCGACCTGTTACTCGACCACACCCAGTGCTGGGCATCAAGCTGTTTTGGTTGAGTATATTATCTGTTTCTGTTAGAATTTCTGCTTTTTGCATGATCACTTAGGGCTGTTAGAAACTCCAAAACCTATTATTGCTTGGCTTGGCTCTGTGAAATTTGATTGCATCTTGATTGCTAGCATCACACCCATTTGGATTGACACCTTAAAATACTACAATGACATGATAGTACTTTGAGGATAATTGATCTTAGTTAAAATCCTACTATCAATTTGGCGCCGTTGCCATTTGGGTGTTTGTTTGTTACATTTGAGATTTCAGACTTGCTTAGATCAAGTTTTATTTCAATTTTCACCTCAGTTACTAAGTTTGTGTTTTTCTTGTTGTCTTCTTGATTTAGATCTAAAATTGTCTTCAAGAGAGAGAGAAACTCTTGTATCGAAGCAACGATTGTGCTTTAAGATTCACTATTTTAAAAAGAGAATTTTCTAACATACTTTTTTATACATGAATTACACTTTAGCAGAATGTAGTATGTAATTTACCATTTTATAATTACCAGTAATAAAAGTAGTACTAAAAATGTATTTTCAATTTTTTATACAGTATTGTTATATTTTGCTTTTAAAAAAAAATAATTGTTGAAAACAGAGCCAATTCTAAGCTCAAGTAACAAAGGTTGGAATTGTAGTCTTAAAATAATTCTGTATTGGTGCGTTTCTACGGGAGCCAACCGGATCAGTCGATAGAGTTTATAAAAAAAAAAAAAAAATCTGCATTTTAATATACTCTCTCATTAGTCTAGTGGTAAGTCTCATTAAAAACCTCGCAAAGGTAAAGATATCGTTACGTATGGTGTTTGATTCCTTTTAGTCTTTTACCATAATTTCAGTTTTGTCATTTAACTAATGAATCGATATAACTTTGTTTTATTTTACAATTTCAGGGCTAGATGTTTTTTTTCTTATATAACTGGAGATGATCGTGATTTTTATCATCTGACTAATCTTAACAGGGTGAGTGTAACCGTTGAGTAGCGAATTCATCTAGTTTTTTAATAGACTTAAAACATAACACCATTTCGACTGGCTAAGTGAGAATAATTGAGACAATTTTGGGCTTGAAAAAAATTGATCCCTGACCTAAACCTATAGAAAAATATCTATTCAAATAAAAACCACTGGACTACGATCACTTGGTTGGACCAATTATGTTTTGATGCAGTTTCGTTTAAATTGTTTTGGCTGTGTGGATGGAAATTCGTGAGGATCTTTTCTTTCTATTGTATTTCTACGGTTTTGACTATGTTCTTAAATGGAGGAGTAAAACACTAAAACATCAAAACCATAACTAAACGAGAAAAATGTCAAAAAAATTTTAACCGTAAAAAAATGCCAAAAAAAAAAAAGTTTTAATTATGTCTTAGTAAAATAATACGTTAATTTCTATGGATTTTTCAATTTAATCATTAACTTTTACTGATTTTTTATTTTAATCGCTAAATTTTGTTGACTTTACCAAATAAATCATGTTGTTAATTGACTAACGAAACCTGTAACACGCCGATTTCAGAAATATGGTGGTGCATGCGGAGAGGTTTAAAAGAATTGATTTGGTCACCTATGTCACCAAAGTGCACTTATCTTTTCGGTCAACTGTCCGGAGAGAACTCCACAGTTAAGCGTGCTTGAGCTGAGAAAGTTTCAGGATGGGTGACCTTCTGGGAAGGGATTGTCGGAACCGTGTGAGTGAGGACAAAAACACGGAAAAAGATCATGTGGTGATTTGTAGGGTCGGTAAAAAAGTCTTTAAAGCCTCCTAGACGTAGCGGACCGATCGTCAGACAGGGGTAGTAGAACTCACGGACCCGAGAGAGGACGTGGGTGCTAACTGGTAGGGGCGGTCGAGGTGTTACAAAACCAATTAACAGAGTTTAAATTTCTAGTAAGATTCTATGTTATACTACTAAACGGATTCATTTTGATTATAAATAAAACTCCAAATGAAACTCCATCTTCCTGCTTCTTGGATAAACCCATGGATACGCTAATGGTTTCATAAAAAAAACATTGTTCTTGTCTCAATGGCGAATGATAGCCGAAACATTGGATATTTTCGGAGAAATGATTTCAAAAACAAATTTTAAAAAGAAATTTTAGAACTGATAGGACGAGAAGGTAACTCAACTACACTATAGTGATTTAGTCTTACTTTATAATTTGGAGAATTTATATCAAAGAATATAAATATGTATGTTTTTTGTTTAAAAAATCACATTAACTCGGTTGGTAATGTATCTATGGATTGTCCGAAAGATAAAAGGTTCAAATATTATTTTTGAGTTTTATTTATTTTAATCAAACGACCTCGTTTGTGTAGTTTTACATTAAATCTTAATAGAAATTTAACTATGTTAGTTTGTTCTGTTAGTCAACTTAACGACATGACTTATTTGGTCAAGTCAACAAAAGTTAGCGATTAAAATGGAAGGTCAATCAAAGTTAACGATTAAAATGAAAAGTCAATAAATTTAGCATATTATTTTATCTCGAGACAGAGTTGAGATTTTGTTGGCATTTTGTGATAGTTGAGAAATTTTTGACATTTTTCCATGATTAAATCTATTGTGTAAAAACATTTACACGATTTTTGAAAAAACTTATTGGTAATTTATTTTTCTGTAAAAATGTCTAAATTCTATTTAAATTTTTTATAAATTGTGGAGATGTGTAGAAAACTGATTTAAAACTTAAACTAGGGTGGAAAACATTATAAATTTTTATAATTCTACAAAAAAATCAATACTTAACATGTGTATAATATGTCATTTATCATTTTATAGTGGATATTACAATATTTTTATAAGCTTTAAAAAAATATATATATATATATATACCATTCGTAGAATTCTTTTTTCACTAAAACATAAAAAATCGTGGAGTTGCATTTTTCTTTTTAAATCCTAAAATCGTATTTTTCTAGCAAAATAAAATTACGAAATTGTGTTTTTATATAAAAACTACAAAATCGTATTTTTCTTCACACCGCAAAATAAAAGAATATTATTTTTCGATAAATTCTTGATTTTTACTATTTTACTGTAAAATATGCCATTTGTCATTTTGCTGTACTAAATATTTGGTATGAAAAAATTTACCTATCGGATTATTAAAACAGTTTCAAATCGGTTCGGTTTGATTTTATCCCCAACCTAACCAACCACACATAAAAAACTACTGGATCAACATTAAATCAGAGATCTAACTTATTCGATCCGGCGATGGCGAGATTCTCAGTTTGTGGAGGAGACGACGGAGAAGGACCTAGCAACAACAACAATCATCAATCCCGGAAAAGACAACGACTTCCCTCAATCGATGAAAACGAAGAAGACGCCGAAACTTCCGACGCCGGAAGTTCCGGTGAAGAAGAAGACGAAGAAGAAACTCAGAATCGAGGAACGAGAACGGAATCTGAAGATCGAGAATCAACGAGCGATGATGATAGCGATCGTGAAGTTTTGATAGAAGAGAGACGATTTGGTAAATTCGTAAATAGTCAGAGTTCGAGCAAAGATTCGCCTCTTTCTGTGACGTTATTGGATCCAGATGTTCTTGATTGTCCTATTTGTTGCGAGCCATTGAAGATTCCAATCTTTCAGGTTTGTTTCTTGTCTCTGATTGAGGAATTAGATAGATGAATTGTGAATTTTGTGTACCATTGTTTGTGATAACTCTGTGGTTCTGTGTTTAGTGTGATAATGGTCATTTGGCTTGTACTTTGTGCTGCACCAAAGTGAGGAACCGATGCCCGTCGTGTACATTACCCATTGGTTACGTTCGTTGCAGAGCGATGGAGAAGGTTATAGAAACATCTAGAGTCTCGTGTCCAAATGCTAAGTACGGGTGTAAAGAGAATACCGCCTATGGAAACCGTTTTAGCCATGAGAAGGTGTGTGTTTTTACCCCTTGTTTTTGTCCCATAGTTGACTGCAACTACTCTGGGTATTACAAGGATCTCAACAACCACGTCCGTGCTGAACACAAAGATGACCTGATCTCGTTCGTGTGGAACACTCGTTTAACTTTGAGCTTGGACCTCAATGAGAAGACCACAATTCTTCAGGAAGAAAACGATGGGGATGTGATTGTTGTTCAAGTTTTCAAGGCTTTGCACGCTGTGTATCTTAGTGTGAGCTGTATTGCACCTTTGGCACCGGGAGTGGGTAAGTTCTCATGCAGACTGTTGAATATAACCGTTGGTAGCTTACTGAAGCAAGGATTTATGGTGAAGAACGTTCAAAAAGTGACTAATGAACTACCTGAAGATGGTTTTATGTTGATTCCTTCTTATTTGTTGTCTGGTAATGAGAACTTGAATTTGCAGATTTGGATTGGCCGTGGCCGGGTCTTTGTTCATTCCTGATTATGTAAACAACTGATGTCTAGTCATAAAACTTTTCATGCTCAATTTTAGGTGTATATGGAATGTGCATGCTTTTAAGATCTAGTGGTGAGTTAAATGATTTAGTTTAAGAATCTTACCTTTGTGGCCATTCGTATATTTGTGAAACAACACTAGTCAGAATCATATCGAATACGAAGTGTGATTAAATTTGGGAGTATAGCCATCAAACTGGACGAACCGGGCTTAAGATACCAAGTTTGATCCTACACCTTCGCATTAACAAGTCGTAGGATTAATAATCCAAAACAAACAACTATGAATCGGACTTGATCAGATAAGTTAAAGAAAAAAAAGTCAAATGAAGCAAAAGTTGGGTTTTAATGTTTTCGTAAAATTTTGAACATTACAGTGTTAATTTGAGAGTAACTTAAGAAAGTCTCACGTCAAATATTACAGGGGTGATTGAGTGCTATAACAATAAAAATTTGTCTTTGCTAGACCGACAAATACCGATATGGACTTTATGGAGGATTTGGAAGAGTAGAAACCAATTACTTTACCAAGCTAAGAACAGCACTTGGCAACAAGATACCATAACGGCAATAGAAGAAGCGACGGAATGGGTCATGTGTTGGCAAGAGGACTCAAGCAATTATAGCAGAGAAGCACGGACTCGCACTCGGGCACAGAGATCACAATGGAATCGACCAAGCAGGAATTTTCTCAAGTGTAATTATGATTGCAAATATGCTCAGGGAGGGAACGCTATTCAAGCATGCTGGATATTCCGTGATTCCGATGGTTTTTTTTGTGAGAGCATGGATAAGTAAGGGTGATCATTGTTCCTCGGTAGTAGAAGCAGAACTCCAAAGTTTACTCATGGCGATGCAACACGCGTGGATACAAGGTTATAGGAGAGTCATCTTCGAAGGGGATAATATTACTGTCTTTAGACTAATCACCGGAGAAACAAGGAACTTTCGATTACATAATTGGATTAGAGAGATTATTTCATGGAAATCAAGGTTTGCCACTGCAGATTTCCAGTGGACAAGAAGACACAACAATCAAGCTGCAGATAGATTGGCAAAAGAAACTTTAAGAGATACTTCAAGCTTTGTATCCTATTTCTATGTTCCAAGCTTTATTGTAAACATCCTCCATGAGGATCACATTTCAAGTTAATGAAAAGCAGATGTTAAAAAAAAAAAACTTAAGAAAGTTAAAATGCTCAGATTTTTGAATGTGGTTCTTTCCCGATTAAATTTGGTGTAAAGGCCATTTTTAAGTTGTTTAATATTCACTAGAGAAGTCTGAAAATAATAAATTATTTGCTAATTTTGTTTCTAATCTTTTCAATACTGATTTACTTAAAAAAAATTGGTTTTACATTTTCAATGTGACAATGGACATATAGGTTGCTGCTCTGCATGCTGTAACAAAATAAGAAACAAACGTCATGTTTGTGTTCTTCCCATTAGTGACTAGATCTTTCAATTGCTTTATAGAGATCACAAAAGAGCTCATCGTTCAACTTCTCCGGCAATGGTGGCATTTGCTTCCATGTCTCCGACACATTCTCATTCAAACTGTCATATCAAAAAGTAATTAATGATATACTTAAAACAATCAAGAGAAATAAACATAGACATCATGAGATTATGTTACTTACTTTTTGAGAAGGCTATTGATGTTCTCCCGAATTTTGCTGAAAAGGTCCAAGTTTTCTGTGGGCTGTATGAAACCAAACTTTCTTAGGGGGGTGTATTCAATAAAGGATTTAAAATGATTTGTATTAAAAAGATAAATCTTATGTTATTCAAACATGAATTTTAAAAATCTTTTTAAAATCAAGTGTTATTGGATTAGTGATTTTAAAATCTACAATCAAATCCACTATTATTGGAAACATTTTAAGTTGTGGATTTGAAATGATTTGAGTGATTTTTGGTGGGATTTCAGAGAACATCTTAGTTAAAAATTCAAATATCCAAATTTCATGGTTTTAGGTGGGATTAGAGAGAGTTTTGATATCAAATTCCCTAATTCACCAAAATTCACCAAAATCATCTCAAAACTCATTAAAACTCAAATCACTCCAAATTCTTTCTTCAATACACCCTCCTTAGTGATTTTAGTATCTAAATTGGTCAATATACTTACGCTTAAGGATGTGAAATTTGCACAAATCTGATTGAACCATTGCTCATTCTGTTTAAGAAGCTTGTTGTCAACCCTTACATATCATTAAATGATGGCACTTTAAGAATATTTCCATATCTGTTTTTTTGAGAAGTTTCCTAAAATCTTCAAGATTTGTTGAATCAACTAGATACTTACCATGTTGAGATGGTTGAAACACTTGTGATGGTTGAAACACTAGTGAAGCCACCACCATATCAATAATCTCCTTAAGAAATCAAACGTAAAAGAGATATCAAGATGTGGTTAAACCTAAAATTAGAAGATTTAGATAAGATCAGAAGAGAGAGAGAGAGAGATTCTATGACTAAACCTTATTGTCAACTCTGGCTCTTCCCAATCCATTGTGATCTTCCTTTCTTCTCTTGGCGTTTTCTTTCTTCTTCTGAAACAAAAACAAAATAAACCCAAAAAAATTATCAAGAAACAGAGAAAGAACAAAAAACTTGAAGAAGAAGAAACAAGGAGAAGACTTTACATGTATCCATCTGCTACGTACAACAACGTCCCTGATGGTCTTATTCTCAAAACATGCTGCGATTTTCGAGTAACGTGTAACAACACTACTCGATTCCGACGAATAACTTCATGAAAGACAAACAATATCAGAACAAGAAGAAATCAACAAAATCGTAAACCTAAGTTTGATTCTCATGAAACTAAAAGCAATTTTTTTTTTTTTTTTTTTTTTTTTTTTTTTTTTTTTTTTTTTTCATGTAAAGGATTCACCAACCTATCAAGGAGTCGAACCAGAGATTCGTCTTCTTCAGAGGTCCAATCCATGGCGATTCCCGAGCGACTTTTCAACCATGAGCTCTCCGACGGGGTCGTCAAGTTGTCGGAGTAGGAATTATGATGATTCATCTCTTCGTTTGTCCATGAAGGATTCGCCATCAAACACACAAGCACCAAAACCACCTAACAAGAACAAAGTAAAGAAACAGAAACTAAAGCCCTAGTTTCTCGTATAACTGACGAACAATGTGTACCGATGCAGATATATATAAATGGAAAAACAAAAAAGATATAAGTTTTTTTCTTTTTATTTTCTTTTCCTTGTTAGTTTGGGTTTGTGTTTCCCATTCCTAGAAGGTGTTTTCGAAATTGTCTTCTATTAATATATCTCTCCATCGTTGTTTAAAGAGATCAGACTTGAGAAGTGGATTATATATATTCTCACCTTTGGTCTACCAAATACTTACAAAAGTTTCAAACAAACCCTCTTCCGCCTTCATCACTCCGGACGTATTTCTCCTATTGATTTCTAGGTTGTAAGTGCGGATGAGGTACGATAAATAGCGGAAAGTAAACGAGACAAAAAATTTGTTAACGAGGTTCGGTTTTTCCTACTCCCCGGGACCACGTCCAGATTTCGATTTCACTAGAACAAGATAGCAAATACAGCCTATTCGCAAACGCGTAAACCAAGCACAACCCTCTTGATTCACCGCTCCGTTCTATTAACATGAAATCTTAAGGATAAATCTCTACCCTTAACTAAACTCTCCTGAGCCTAAACTCTCCTGAGCCTAGATTTAATCAAGATAACCTAACCCTTAGCTAAACTCCCTCTGAGTCTAGACTTCAATTCTCCAAGTCTTTGGAACAACCACCACACACGAACCGTCACGCCAACGAACCCAACGATCACCAAGATTCTCCAATATGAACCGTCAACACCAACACACAAATAAGCTTGATCACACAAGCACAAACCCGCGAAACTACGTCGCACACGATCACACACACAATCTCTCACATCAAATCTCTTTGGAATTTTTACTCTTGCCAATCCACCTTCTCATAAGGTCACGTCCCCCTTATATAACAAACAAAAACTTGCGCCTCAAGTTCTTCCAATCACACATAAGAGAGTTTCCAAATCCCATAAGGAAAAGGTTTTCCTTTTTGCCAATTTCCTTTTCTCTTCAAGCAAACTTCCCTTTACTTACATGATTCCTTTTGTCGTCAAACAAAGATAATTTTCTTTTTCCTGACTTGAAAAACGCTCCAACACCCAAGTACCCGAGCTCCTCATCAGCAGTTATGCATCTCATCTTCCTGAATCACATCTTATACTACTTTCTGTACTACTTCAACGACTAGTACAGAACACCAAAATAACTGCATCTTCATAGGTGACATGGTGAGAGCCTCGACTTCAGAAGCTCTTATAATTTACGGTAATGGAGAGAACAGAGGGACTAAGAGACGCTCGGTCGTGGTACTGGATCTTGATATTCTTGATTGTCCTGTTTGCTGTGAAGCATTGACGATTCCTATCTTCCAGGTTTTGTTTCTTATCTGAAAACTTTTACGTTTACTAGTTTATTTTTTTCTTGAATTTTTAAGTGTAGGTACAACTTTTTAATCACAACTCGTTTGTTTTGTATTTCAGTATTGTAAAGATTTTGACAACCTTTCTCAAGGCTTAAGCTTGCTGCTCACTTATCTATTACGGTTTTGAAATTAGTGGTAAAGATTTCGTCTATTATCCATCTTGCTTACACGCAGAGATTTCGTCTTTCAGCAATTGTTTACGGACTCCGTTGCTGGTCGAGAACCGTAGTTTGAGACTATCCCAAAGTTCTTTTGCATCAGACACAAACGATGCGGTAGAACGAATTGTTGGATCAATGGATGTTCGAATCCATCCTATGATCATTGAATTAGCAGCTTTCCATGATGACAAGTCAGGTTCTGTTGTTGGTTTCGGTAGCGTACCATCAAGAAACCCAAGTTTTCGTTTTGCTTGGAGAGAATTCATGAGCTCTGTAGCCCATTCAGAATAATTGTCTTCCTTTAAGACAACAGAAGAAATTAAAGCATCTGGATTGTCAGAAGCATGAAGAGAATAAGAAGATGAAGTTGTGGTGACTATAGCTCCGGACATTGCAGCGAGAGAAAAAAAAATTGTAGAAGAAGCGGCGGTCAAGGACTGCAGCGAGAAAAAAAATTTAGGTTAAAAAAAATAACCTGCTCTGATACCATGAAATTAGTGGTAAAGAGTTGACTTTATTCATTCACATAGAGTTAGTATTTATACAAAGAGATTGTAAGGGTTTTCCCTTGTACATAAGATATCGAGGCCCATTAAAGGTCCATCAGGTTTCAAGCTAGACTTAGAAGTATTTTGCAAGACTGAAACTGAGGCAACAGGAAGATAAAGGTGAATGCAGAGAAAGAAAGTGAATGATGCAGGACAGAATGTAAGGAGCACACAAACACAGTTTAACGAGTTCAGCTATACCAAACCGGTATAGCCGACGTCGCCGGGAACGGTGTCCCGGAATCCACTAAACAACTTGAAAGAGTTTACAGCTTGTTTCTCTCACCCACACTTGGCAATATACAAAGCTCACTTTCACTCAGTGTTTCCCCACTCTGTTTTCCTCTCTTTCTACAACTCGCATCACACCTCTTCTCTCTTCATAACGTTCCTCTTTATAGATGGAGACATCACATCTTGTGTACCAACCCTAAATGCAAAGCTGTCACCTTATACGTATGCAAACGTAGACACCACCACAGCCTCACATTTGAATTCACTACAAGACAACTCACAGCTCTCTCTCTTTTGAACCTAAGACTTGTGGTCCCAAAAGCTTTACCTTACTCAAGTTACATTTGCATTAACCTGAGTTACTCTTTGAGTTATCCTTGTCATCATTTGCTTGTTCATCAAGACTCAACTTCATAAGTGTGACAATGGACATTTAGCTTGCGCTTCTTGCTATCCCAAACTGAGTAATAAATGCCCTTCATGTGCTTTCCCTGTTGGTCACATTCGCTCTAGAGCAATGCAGAGTGTTCTTGAATCGATCTTGGTCCCATGCCCAAACGTCACGTTTGGTTGCACAAAGAATTCCTCTTATGGGAAAGAGTTAACTCATGAGAAAGAATGCAACGTCGCTCCATGTTCCTGCCCTGTGGAAGACTGCGATTATATTGGCTCATACAAGGATCTCTACGATCACTATGATCTAACTCAATTGAAAAGATTCACACTTGATTACTTCAGTTGTGGCAATTCCTTTAATCTCCCGATGAAAATCAGCGATAAGAAGATAGTAATTAGAATGGAAGACACGAAGAGACTCTTGTTTGCAGTGCAGTGTTTTAAGGAGCCTTGTGGTGTGTATGTAACCGTAAGCTGCATTGCACCATTTACTCGAGAAGTAGGAGCGTTCTCATATTATTTCTCCTATGCTGTGGATGGAAACGTTATGAGTTACGTATCAACAGAGATGAAGAGGGTTCTTGAAGTGAGTTCTCAAGTCCCTAAGAAGAATTTCATGTGGATACCTCACTGTTTATTGCGCGATGATGGATGGTTGAATATAGTGCTCTGCATCAAAATTTCTGAGAACGACCAACAAAACATGTAACAATATATTTCTATTTTGTAATTCCAAGCGTCAAGAAAGATTTTTTTTTATATAGGAATGTGAATATCATATATAATGAAATTTGAGGTTTTACAAAAAAGCTTAACTTAGGTTTGCAATCCTACCAAATAAAAAACAAGAGTTACAAGCAAAAGTTGACTGTCAATCAACAAATTATCTAATCCAAAGAGCCATCAAGCCCCTGAATTGCTTCCGGTATCGTCTGGCGGCGATCGTGTTACGCATTTCCTTGTCAATGTCTTTGAAAAGCAAGGCTGGAGAGACGACGACTTGGTTATGCAGTAAGTTATTCCTCTGCTTCTAAATGTGGTAGATGTTGGTTGTTATTTACATATTTATATTTACATGTTTATTTATATAAACATTGTATTTATGTAAATACCCCTCTACTTGTGAAAATAACATTACGTCTCTTTGAACGTATGTGACTATTAGAAAAACAACGATTGATCTAAGAGAAGCATCCCTTGGATCAAGCAACGCTTGGATTAATATTTAAAGAGATGTCACGATACAGAGGGGAGGGTGATAGACGAACAAGTGAGAGAGAGGGAAGAACAATATAGAGAGATTAAGGAGAGACAGAGATTGAGATTGATTCTAATCTTCTCCTTCTCCAAATCAGTTTCTGAGAATCTCAAAGTAGGTTTGCTAGGGTCTCTGTAGAGGTGTGAATACAGAGATCGATTGTTGTATCCTTCAAGATAGACGCCCACAAGAAAGCTACTAACACCACTGTAGGGGTGAAATTCTGTCTTAGGAGATTGCTTATAGTAAGCCTCAATCAAACCAAAACGTTGTTCTTACGTTGAATAAAAGAAGAGATCGACGGTGTACGTATTGTGTACGTATTGTGATCTGCATCTGTAATTCTGAGATAACAGAGGTCCAACAATCTAAGACAGAATTTTCATATCAATTCTCTGTTGTCTTGAATTGATAGATGGTTCAATCTGCTGGGAATGTGAAAAATCACATTGAGAAGCCTTTTGTTTTCAAAGGAATTGATTTCAAAAGATGGCAGCAGAAGATGATGTTTTATCTTACGACTTTGAATCTGGCACAATGCTTGACTTCTGAAGCACCGGAATTACCTGTTGAAGGAGATATTCCGGATGAAATCATTAAAGCATCAGAGGCATGGTCACAGAATGAGTTTTTGTGCAAAAACTACATTCTTAATGCCCTGGATGATTCTCTCTACGATGTTTATCAAATATTCCAAACTCCAAAAGAGTTGTGGGAATCGTTAGAGAAGAAATACAAGTCAGAAGTGGCAAGTGCTAAGAAATTCATCGTTGGAAAATTCTTGAATTTCAAGATGAGTGACACCATCTCTGTGGTGAAACAAGTGGAAGAAATCCAGATTTTTGCTCATGAATTGAGAGATGAAGATATGGGGCTGAATGAGGCGTTTCTCGTTGCTTCGATCATTGAAAAGTTGCCTCCTACATGGAAGGATTTCAAGATCTATCTAAAGCATCTTCATGAAGACATGAGTCTTGAGCAACTAATTCTCAAACTTCGTGTCGAAGAGGAGAATAGTAAGAATGAGAAATCTGAATTTTCTTCTATGGAAGCAAAGGCCAATGTAATTGAGGGAAACAGTTCCAAATTCAAAGGCTTCAAGAAGAACAAGAACAGTAAGAAACCGTTGATTCCACCAAAGGGTTCTAACTTCAAGAACAAGCTACAAGGTGCTTGTTGGGTGTGTGGAAAGCCTGGACATAGGGCCAAGGACTGCCGCCATAAGAAGGAAGGGACATCGGTTGGAGACGCAAATAACGCGAACCTTGTCGAAGATCAGTTTGTTGCGGTCGTTTCCGAAGCAAACATGATGACAAACTCCAATGATTGGTGGATAGACACTGGTGCTACAAAGCATGTGTGTTCTGATGCGAGTATGTTCTCATTGTACGTACTTGGCTCTGGTGGAGAAAATCTGTACATGGGAAATGCAAGTACCGCAAAGATAGAAGGGAAAGGCAAAGTGGTCTTAAAACTCACATCTGGGAAGGAACTTGCACTGATGAACGTGCTCCATGTCCCTGAGATTCGAAAGAATCTGATTTCGGGTTCCCTTCTAAGCAACAAAGGATTCAAGATGGTATTTGAATCTGATAAGTTTGTACTCACTAAAGGTGGGATGTATGTGGGAAAAGGCTACTTATGTGATGGTCTTTTCAAACTGAATGTTGTACCGATCGTTAATAAAAACGCAGGCAATAGCTCTGCTTCTGTTTATTTGCTTGATTCAAATGACTTATGGCATGCAAGATTGGGACATGTCAATTATCATTCTTTGTATAGAATGATGAATTTAGGATTGTTACCAAAAAACAATCTTAAGAATCATGAAAGAAGCAAATGTGAAGTTTGTGTAGAATCAAAATATTCACGGCACTCTTACAAATCTGTGGAGAAGTCAAATGTATTACTTGGTTTAATACATAGTGACTTGTGTGATTTTCAATCAACTCCAAGTCGTGGAGGAAAGAATTATTATATTTCTTTCATTGATGATTATAGTAAGTTTTGCCAAATCTATTTGATTAAGACTAAAGATGAGGCTTTGGATATGTTTAAGAAATTCAAAGCTGAAGTCGAAAATCAATTAGATAAGAGAATTAAGATTCTCCGATCAGATCGTGGTGGAGAATACTTGTCGAATGAATTCTCTGATTTTTGTTCTACATATGGAATCATTCATCAAACTACGACACCTTATACTCCAATGCAAAACGGAGTTGCCGAGAGCAAGAATAGAACTCTTAAAGAGATGATGAATTCCATGTTAAACGATTCGGGTGCACCATCTAACTTATGGGGTGAATCCATTCTCACGGCTAATTCAATCTTGAATAAGATTCCTCATAAGAAGTGTGATAAAACTCCATATGAGATGTGGAAAGATAAGACTCCTTCATATAAAAATATGAAAGTGTGGGGTTGTCTTGCTAAGGTTCAAGTACCTTTACCAAAAAGAACAATTATAGGACCAAAAACGTTGGATTGTGTATACATCGGTCGTGCGGAGAATAGTGCAGCTTATAGATTTATAGTTCATAAATCTGATAATGTTGAGGTAAAGGTAAATACGATCATTGAATCAAATGAGGCTGAATTCTTTGAGGATGTATTTCCATACAAAGAGCCTAGAAATCCATGTACCAAACGGGTACGTGATGACAATGATCGTGTACGTATTCAAGAAGAGGAATATGAACCAAGAAGAAGTAAAAGAGCAAGAGTTGCTAAAGATTTTGGCACAGACTTTATGACGTTTTTGAGTGAATATGAACCTCAAACGTATAAGGCTGCAATGGAATCATTGGAAGCTTCTTATTGGAAAGAGGCTATCCAAAGTGAAGTTGAATCCATTTTGAGTAATCATACATGGGAATTGGTTGATTTACCACCTGGTAATAAACTAATTGGACATAAATGGATATTCACTAAGAAGTTGAGACCAGATGGTACGATTCAGAAATATAAAGCAAGACTAGTGGCGAAAGGATTTCGTCAAAAGGAAGGTCTTGATTTCTTTGATACCTATTCTCCGGTGACGAGAATCACTTCAATTAGATTTCTAATTGCAGTTTCGGCCATATATAATCTAGAGATTCATCAAATGGATGTTAAAACAGCATTCCTAAATGGTGAACTAGATGAAGAAATATATATGGAACAACCCGAAGGCTTTATAGTCGAAGGGAAAGAGAAGAAAGTTTGTAAGCTTAAGAAGTCTTTGTATGGACTTAAGCAAGCGCCAAAACAATGGCATGAGAAGTTTGATAATACAATGAGGTCGTATGGTTTTAAAATAAATGAATGTGACAAGTGTGTCTACATTAAGGAAACCAAGAAGGATACGATCATTGTATGTCTATATGTGGATGATATGTTGATAATGGGAACAAGTAGAGATATTATCAATACCACAAAGAAGATGTTGAGTGACAATTTCGAAATGAAAGACATGGGATTGGCTGATGTAATTCTTGGAATTAGAATTAGACGAGAGCCAAATGGGTATTCACTTACTCAATCTCATTATGTGGAGAAAGTCCTAAAGAAGTTTGGTCACTTTGATGATAGACCAGTAGTTACTCCGTTTGATCCGACGTGTAAGCTTTCAAAGAATGAAGGAGAAAGTGTGTCTCAGTTGGAGTACACACAAATTCTTGGAAGTATCATGTACATTACAAATTGTACGAGACCAGATTTGGCTTACTCATTGAGTCTATTAAGTCGATATGCAAGTAATCCAAATGGAGAACATTGGAATGCTTTGGTTAGAGTATTGAGATACTTAAAGCATACAATGAATTATGGTCTATATTACACTAAGTATCCTCCGGTGTTAGAAGGATATAGTGATGCCAATTGGATCTCTGGAAGTACGGATAGTAAGTCCACAAGTGGTTATGTGTTTACATTTGGTGGTGGTGCTGTGTCTTGGAAATCATCTAAACAGACGTGTATAGCACGTTCTACAATGGAATCGGAATTTATCGCACTAGATAGTGCTGCAGAAGAAGCCGAATGGCTAAGGAATTTTCTTCAGGATATTCCACTATGGCCAAAGTCGGTGACTGCACTATGTATCCATTGTGATAATATGGCTGCCTTGAATATAGCAAGAAATAAGAATTTCAATGGCAAGTCAAGGCATATTCGAAGGAGACATGCCACAATACGACAATTGCTTTCCAATGGGGTGATAGCATTGGATTATATTAGATCAAAGGAAAACTTGGATGATCCTTTGACTAAAGGCCTACCGAAAGAGCAAGTCGTATTCACTTCGAGGGGAATTGGTTTAAAGCCAACACAATGAGTCAGTACTTGGTGGAAACCTTACCTAGCAACATTGGAGATCCCATGGCTTAGGTTCAAAAGGCAAACTGGCAGAGGAAGACTCAAGATAGTAATACACATTACTAATTCCTATGAAGTTAAATGTGTATCCATTGACGATTAAGGGATGAATGTTTATTCTTAATAACATTAATATCTTGTGTTTACAAGTGGGATAGAATGGACTATTCTTAATTAATGTTACCTATATGAGAGTGGTGTCGCCGTCGCACCTATGAGAATTGAGATGGCTAAATTCTCTAGAGCTCTCACGAAGTCGGGATATGTTCAGGACCAAAATGAACACAACCGTATAAACATGAAATGAGCTGATGATATATGTGTTTCACTTATTGTCTCGATTTACTATCAAACGTGGTTAGTTCAAGACAAGAGTTCACTACCCACAAAGTAAATCCGATAAGTGTTAACTAGGAAAGGTTCAAGTCCAAAAGACACCTTTACCGATGCGTATTGATTCTATTTTCTCAGATATTGTGGAGCTTATTTTCTATTCAAATGTGGGGTATGGTTGAGTTTGAATAGAAAATGTGGGGTATTGTTGTTTGTTATTTACATATTTATATTTATATGTTTATTTATATAAACATTGTATTTATGTAAATACCCCTCTACTTGTGAAAATAACATCACGTCTCTTTGAACGTATATGACTATTAGAAAAGCAACGATTGATCTAAGAGAAGCATCCCTTGGATCAAGCAACGCTTGGATTAATATTTAAAGAGATGTCACGATACAGAGGGGAGGGTGATAGACGAACAAGTGAGAGAGAGGGAAGAACAATACAGATAGATTAAGGAGAGACAGAGATTGAGATTGATTCTAATCTTCTCCTTCTCCAAATCAGTTTCTGAGAATCTCAAAGTAGGTTTGCTAGGGTCTCTGTAGAGGTGTGAATACAGAGATCGATTGTTGTATCCTGCAAGATAGACACCCACAAGAAAGCTACTAACACCACTGTAGGGGTGAAATTCTGTCTTAGGAGATTGCTTATTGCAAGCCTCAATCAAACCAAAACGTTGTTCTTACGTTGAATAAAAGAAGAGATCGACGGTGTACGTATTGTGTGAACGTATTGTGATCTGCATCTATAATTCTGAGATAACAGAGGTCCAACAGTAGACAGTGGCCTACGCCGCTCGTTTCCTTTACCAATTTCTTAATTGTAAGTGTAAACACCAAACTGTGAAAAATGTTGTTTTCACTATTTCTTTAACGTTTACGTTTCAATTTCTCTTTTTTTTCTTTCATATAACAGAACCCAAACTACTTCATTGATGAACTCTTTCTCCATCCCCCTTTGATTCCTTCAAGATCCTCATTGCTACATTTGGTTTCCAACTATTAACTTCCCTTTGTAAACAGTTCCAAATCTCCCTTTCCATTTGATTTCCCCATTCCTTCAACTTTTTCTCGCATTCTTTGCTCACTATTATAGCGGGCCACAATAATGATCATCATCACAGTTGAAAGAATATTAGGAGAATTCGTAACTATTTTTTTTGGAAAAAAAAATAGAAAAACTAAATAATTAATAAGTAACTCAATTCAAATAGCAATAGGAAATTTATTTCATGGTTTTGAAAAAAGTTGGAATTAAATATTTGAAAACGTGCGAAAATTTAACAGATGAAAACCAATTAATATGACAAATAAGGTAATAAAAATTTAAATATTTGATACATGTTACAATCAAATCGATCAATTCACATGTATCATGATGTTAGTCTTTTAGTTTTTTTTTTTTTTTAAATGAAAGAAAACTAAAATATTTTTAACACATGTTGATGTCTAATTGATTGACTAACAATGTATCAATCGCGTTAATTACGATTTGAACATGTATTTCCTTTTTCACAAAACCCTAATTGAAAAAATAAAAACAACTTTCACAAAACCCTAGGCTTTCCATTTTCTAGTTAGTTTCCTTTTCCTTGGTTAATTTGGGTTTGTGTATTCCATTCCTAAGAGGTGTTTTACAATTTCTTTTATAAATAAATATCTCAATCGTTGTTTAAGAGATACCAGACTTGTTTTTTGAGATTAAAAAAATTGGTGTTAAAACACACCGAGAAAGGCTTAAGAAAGTTTCGAACAAACTCTTTAATCTCTTCTGCCCCCCGTATTTCTCCTATTGATTTCTAGGCAACATGGTGGGAGCCTCGGAAGCTTTGTTATTTCACGGTGGTGAAGGGGAGAGAGTGGCTAAGAGACACCGCTCGGCGACACTGCTAGATCTTGATATCCTCGATTGTCCTGTTTGCTGTGAAGCATTGGCGACTCCTATCTTCCAGGTTTTGTTTCTTATCTGTAGATTGAATTGTCCAGCTTTTAATATATATTTTTTTCTTGGATTTTTAAGGTGTAGGTACATCTTTTTAATCACAATTTTTTTTTTTTTTTTTTTTTTTTTTTTGTATTTCAGTGTGATAATGGACATTTAGCTTGCTCTTCTTGCTGTCCCAAACTGAGGAACAAGTGCCCTTCATGTGCTTTCCCTGTTGGCCACAATCGATGCAGAGCAATGGAGAGTATTCTTGAATCGACCTTGGTCCCATGCCCAAACGAAATGTTTGGTTGCACCAAGACTTGCTTTTATGGTAAAGAATCAGCTCATGAAAAAGAATGCATCTTCTCTCAATGCTCATGCCCTTCACGAGAATGCGATTACACTGGCTCATACAAGGATCTCTACGCTCACTATAAACTGACTCACTCGAAATTTTCCTGGAGTATTAAATGTGGCATTCCTTATACGGCCGTGATGTTCATCAGCAATAAGATACTAATTAAAAGGGTACATGAGAGTAAACTATTGTTTGCAGTACAGTGTTTTAGAGAACCGTGTGGTGTGTATGTAACCGTAAGCTGCATTGCACCATCTGCTCCTGAAGTAGGACAGTTCTCATATCGTCTCTCCTACACTAAGGATGGACAAACTGTGATTTATGAATCACCGGAGGTGAAGAAGGTTCGTAAAGTGAGTTTTGAAACCCCTCAAGAGAATTTCATGTTGATCCCTCACAACTTATTATTGCGTAGTGGCTTGTTGATGATTGAGCTTTGTATCGTCGACAAGTTGAACCAAGAGTAAGAAGTTTAAGGTGATATAGAAGGAAGGTCATTCTATTTGATTGTAAGACGTTTGGTTTTGCACTTAGTGTGATAATGGAAATTTAATGGAATTGACCAACAAAACATTTAACAGTTTTTCAATCTAATAACTTCTAAGATATACTCCGTTCATTTGTCGTTTCATTCTTTCTTTATTTTATTTTTTTGTCTTTCAATTTATCCATGCATAAACACAAAAATCTATACCATCAACTTTGTTTTGCTAAATTGTAAATATTACATAGATAATGAAAAAAGTTTTAGTTAGAATCAAAAGATTTAGAACATATACACATGGTTCCATGGCAAAAAAGATAAAAACATGGAAGCATAAGACAGCAATTAAACCAAGTTTTCGGACCAGCTACTCAACCAAGCAAAGAAGTTGTGGGAACAAGATGAAGCGATGACGTTTACGATGTCCTTCCCGGAAGAGTTGCAAAAGGAGAAGGGCGAAAGCAGATTGAAAACACCTTACGCACTACAAGAAAACATGAGATTAGCGACTTAATTCGGCGACTAATTTTGCAGTCGCTACATCTAGTGACCGTTTAGCTACGTTTTGGCGACTAAATATGAACCAAAATACGATAGTCGCTAATTAGTATCTAATATGAGACTGATTTATATTGTCGTTATATAGTCGCTAAATATGGCGACGGATTAGTTACCGAATATTTAGTCGCCAACTGGAGCGACTCAGTGGCTACGAATTAGCGACTGCGTAATTCTAGTTGGACATTCAAATTGGGCCCAAAAGCCCAACAACCCAGTAACGTTAGCCCATGAGCCCAAGTATGAACGTTTTCTACGTTCTCCCTTCGTAGAAAACCCTAATCCCGTTTTGCTCGCACCCAAATCAAACCCTAGATTCTCTCGATCTAGCGACGAACCCTGATTCTCGACCGAATTGTCTCTCGTATCTCTCTCGATGGCTCCGAAGAGAGGAAGAGGAAGAGGAGGAAGAGGAAGGGCTCCGAAGGTTTCCCCAAATCGACCTGTCGCCAATCGACCCACTGCTTCTGGGACGTCAAATCGAAGACCCAGTACTCTTCCTAGCCAGTATACCTTCACTCCGGCGAATCCTGAAGCCCCAGAGACTCAGCAAAGTCCGGTAAATCCTGTAGCCCTAGAGTCTCAGCCTCCGACTCATAGAGACTATCCTCCTCCGACGCAGCTGTTCCAGTCCGGCGATGATTCTCCTCGAGGCTCTGGGTCGCATCCATTTCGGGAATCTGGATCTACTCAAGTTCGAGGGTCTGGATCTGTTCAAGGACGAGGCTCTGTAGGATCTATTCATCGTCTAGCTTCTCGGTCGAATCAACCTCCTGCGCCGGTTCAACCTCCTGCGCCGGTTCAACCTCCAGCGTCGACTCAGCCTGCAGCGTCAAATCGACAAATACCATCTCGTCAACAAAGACCTTCTCCTCAACCTCGAGCCTCTGTATCGCATCATAGTTCTCAGGCTCAAAACTCACACGAGGAATCTGAAGATGAGGAAGCTGAAGGTGAATCTGAAGAAGATGTGTTGAGGGATTCAACACTCCCAGAAGATGTCCTCGCAGATTTACATGCTACACTTCTCATCCCAGGCCGTGAGAAGTTCACCACCGTCATCTCTCCCAACCTCGAGCCTGAAACCACTTGGTAAACATTTTTAATTTTGATTGTATATAGGTCTGATTGTATATAGATTAGGTAAATAGGTTAGCTTGGTAAACATTTTCAATACTTAAGTAGAGTCTTCTTATTGGTCTGCATGTTTTGGTCTTATAGTCTGTTAGGTTTGCTTGTATATAGGTCTGCTTGTATAGTTTGAGTTAGAGTCTGTTAGTATATAGTATTAGCTTTATTGGTCTGCTTGTATAACTTAAGTAGAGTCTGGTTGTATAATTTGAGTTTGAGTATGTTTGTATTTGATTAGGTCTACTTGTTTATAGATTATGGATGGTATCAAAGCTAACTGGTTTATTTGATTGTAGGTTTGGTAAGGACAATGGAAAGCTAACCCGGAAGATCACTAAATGTTTCACAAACAAGTTTGATGGGCCATATTACAATTGGAGCTGTGTTCCTACTGGTAGAAGAGAAAGATACTTCCTCGAATTCGCGGTAAATTTCTGTCTCCTCTTATACTTATGTAATTACACTTTTGTTTTGTTTTTTGATCACTAACACCAAACTCTACTCTTGTTTTGTAGAAACTACACACCTGGCATCCCTCAGTGACAGGTGTTGTTGAAGCTAAATTCTACAAGATTTGTCAGGTGCGGATGAAAGACATGGTTAGCAAGGCATGTTCAAAACGAGAGAGGCCAAATTGGATCGAGAAAAAACTTTGGATAGAGATGTGTGCCTATTGGGACACTGAAGAAGCATTAGCAAAGAGTTCAACCACATCAGCAGCTAGGATGTCTGACCGTAATGGTCTTGGTCCTCACAAGCATGTTGCTGGTCCAAAGTCGTTTTTACAAATAGAGCAAGAGATGGTACATTCTGACCTATTTACTTTGTTTTAGTTTTAGATTACTTAGACCTATATATTTACTTTGTTCAGGAAGTTGAATTGGGAAGACCTCCTACTATTGGTGAAGTTTTCATCAGGACTCATACCAAGAAGGATGGGACTTTTGTGGATAGGAAGGCGCAGGAAGTCCATGAAACATATCTCAAGAACAAGGCAGCTAAGTTGGCTGCCCTTCAAGAGAATGATGAACAAGCAGATGGGACTTCGCGACGATCTGAGCTATCTCAAGAGGAGGATGATGAGATCTTCCTTCAGGTAAATAGTCTGTTATTTATGGTTGCTTTTGTTATGCAGTCTAACTGTGTAATACTCTTTCTTTTGGTATGCAGTCTACTATCACAAACGACAGAGGAGAATACTTTGGTGTTGGCAGCCTCGGGGTTTACATCAACGGGAAGCGCAAGTACCCAGGAAGCAGTTCTTCTTTCACAACACTCCAATCACAGCTTGAGGATGCTAACCGGAAGATTGAGGAACAAGCAGCGCTCCAAGCAGAACGTGAAGCAGAGGCTTTGCGGGTCGCAGCTGAGCAAGCAGCTGAGATCAAGCATTTGGCGATGGTGAAGAAGTATTTGAGCGAGACTGACCCAAAGTTTATGGCCTTCCTCAAGTCTCAATCTGCTGCCACTGATACTACTACTGCTGCCACGACTGCTGCCACTGCTGCTGCCACTACTGCTGCCACGACTGCTGCCACGACTGCTGCTACTACTGCTACTATTCCTACTGCTCAACAACCATAGGTCCCTCCTTCTCTAAACTTTCCCTCCTTCTCTGAACTTGAAAACATTTGTGTTGCTTTGAAAACTTGTGTAAGTTGTTTGGTTACTTGAACTTGGTTCTTATGTTTATGTATGTTTATGTTGTGGTTTATTTTATAATGTTCTTATGTTTTAAATAGAAGTCTTTTTGCTTATAAATTGGTAATAACAATCAAATTAGCAACAATTTATTCTTCCAAAATTAGCATTCTAAGTCGATAATAATCAGTCGCAAAGTAGTATCAATTCAGTTACCAAAACATTTAGAAAATAGTCGCCATGTAGTGACATAACAGTCGCTAGATTCGTCACAAAACAGTCGCCAAAAGAGTCGCAAACTTAGCGACTGTGTGACGACTGAATAGCGACTGCAAATAATGGTCGCCTATTAGTCGCCAAATAGCGACTGTTATGCGACATATTAATTTAGCGACGCAAGGTTCAGCGACTACGTGTTTTAGTCGCCAAACAGTCGTAATTATGTATTTAGCGACGATTTTGTTACTATTAGTGTAGTCGCTAAATCCATGTTTTCTTGTAGTGACGATTGACAACTAGCTCTAGAAGCATTTCGCAGGAGGCCCGAAACCGAGCCGTCAACGGTTAAAACTCCAAATCATCGATCACATACTCTCCCTGCGCCATGTGAGATCGATTCTTCGTTTCAAATCCATGAGCTAATCCCTGAAACAGAACCTCACACGGCAAAAAGCAGATGGTGCTAGCTCCCTCTACCAAGTAGCACTTTACAAAATAAATTAATGTACTAGCATTTTCCGATACCTAGCTAAGAAGTATACGGTGAAAGTCAAATAATGGATAGTGAAAAACATTCTAAGAGCAAGTATGACCACCAACTTGATATTAGCATTTTCGCGTATGGACTAGAGAACGAAATCTAAAACTAACTCGACATGAGGCATGAAAGGTCAAAGGTCCTGCAAAAAAATAGACATTTTATATGGAACTTTGTATTAAGATATTTAGCCGGGAATCACAAGTAAAGAATATGGGTAAAGACTAAAGAGTGTGATTCTTAATACCTAAGATGGGTGGCTGTGGAGGAAACAACCCATTTGTTCTACAGAGTTGGGCATTCCCGAGAAGTCCCTCAGTCTCTGGTTTTTTTCTCTCCCTCGGTTCCTTCGGTTCTTAGACAATTTATTCTAGTCAAATAGATTCAAAACTAATTAGGGGACTTCCCAATATAGTTTATTTGGAAGACATGGACGGAAAAATGTTCAAGAATATCATCTATTTTTAGCATGATATTCTCGACCATTTACTGTGGGATGGTATTACCAAAGAGAGAGAGAATGAAGTTTTGAGAGAAAAGTTTGTTGCGGATTAAAACAATTTCTTCATTCAATTAATTAAGAAATATATGCAATTGAGAGTTTATATACAAGTAAGCTATACCAAGAAACCTGAGTAAACCGAGTAACAATTACATATTTGCATCCCATAGATGGCAAAGCATGGTTTCCTTTTCAATTTTTGATTAAGAAAGAAATTCCCTAAAGTTTTCAAATCCCTTAGAAGAATTTTATCTGATACCCCACAGTTTGCGTGATGATGAATGGTTGAATATGATACTTTGAATCAAGAATTCTGGATCGACAAACTAAACATGTAACTATGCCACGCCCAAATACTCCTTCTTGACTTGGCTCGCGACAAAAAATCGTCTCACAACCGGAGACAGAATGTTGAATTGGCAAGTAGGAGCAAACCCATCTTGTGTGTTCTGCAATAAACAAATAGAAGACAGAGACCACCTGTTCTTTGAGTGTTGTTACGCACTAGAGATTTGGTCTGGATTATGCGGAAAGATATTGGGACAAAATTTTACTA